GGGGGGGAGGGAGTGGAAGGGTAAAACTGAGCGCGTGGCGCGCGCTCTTCGCACGCTATCCAGCTATTAGACAATGCAAATAGTATCGTCGCCCTGTGATCGGCAATTTGGATCTCCATACCACACCTTCGACGAAAACTCTCTTTTTTGCGTAGTCACGATGGATCAGGGTTATATTTTGTTTCTCTTTGTCTTCAAAACTACGTTCAAAAATATCTCAAACATTCTTTTCTAGCCTACCTTTCCTCTCTCTTTCTCTCCATTCAAAAAATTTACGTAAATTACTAAATTTGGACGTCCGAGGATCATTTTCGCAATATCACCCTCCGCATTTTCCGTCGTTTCGCAAAACGACAAGGTAAAAAATTGGTTATTATTACGATACGTAATATCTGTGACTCGCAATATAATCCGATATGAGCGAAACCGAATGGAATATGTGGATTTACGCTGTGCTGGATGTTTACGCAAGATGTCAACATGTGAAAACAGAAGATTACGAATTTGCATTCTGAAATGTTCGACGTCGACGTCGCGGGGGTAGCGACGGTAGCGATCGGATTAAAATACAAAAGCGGAGAGAGCGCGATTCGACGAAATGGATTACATTTAGAGACGCGGGGGGGACATTTGTGTAAAAGAAACAAAATCCATGCGGGAGAGCGGAGATCGACGTTGCAAATTATCATATCGAGATAGTCACCGTGTGCAAAGGGTAATGACGGGTTTTCAGGCAGATTATTAAGCTCTGATCGAGATTCCCTCATCTCGCGACGGATCGATATCGCATTTAAAATTGTTGTTTACTCCAGACACGGTTCTAGTGTTAATAATTCACGCCATTAATAACTCACGCGTAATGGGAAAATCATGATAGATTTACGTACAGACATACATATATCCGGGCGGGAGACGGCGGAGAAATAACGTGGAAGCACGAGAAATGGTCTCTCGTCTCTCGCGTCGTCTCATCTCACCTCGTCTCGCGTTATTAGTGCCGAGGTTCATCGAGCGACGAAGCATCAGAATTGTCGTGGGTCGAGGAAGGGTGGACTTTAACGGCGGTTCTCTCGTTAAAATGCGAATACTCGACTTAACGTAAGCCATCCGGCTTAACGATTAAGTAAATACGTCCGACGGAGAATGAGCGAGGTGACCGATCAAGCGGAGGAATCAAGATGGTTTATGTCTACCTGCAGGGGGAGAGAGTGCTTATGCCGTCGTTAGTCTAACACCGTGATTTATACTTAATATATTTAAGAAGAATTCGTAATCTATCAGAATCTTTTTTTATTTAATATTAAATATCCGAATAATTAAGTATTTAGTTGCAATTTTGAGGAAAAAAATCCAAATCAGTATCAAGATTTCTTACTATTAATATTATTTTTTAAATAATCTTCTTTATAATGCTTCACAAATTTATAAATTGCAAAGAATAAAAATGCCAAGAAATTATCATATGATTAGAAACCTTGAAAACTTTTTTGAACATATAGGAAATACTGTATATAAATAAATATATTATAGAAATTCAAGAAAGACAATCTTTAAAATACTTTAAAAATAAAAAAATAAAAAATAAAAAAAGAAGACTTAACGATTTTTTTTCATTAAAAAAATTATAAGGAAACGATACAAAACGTTTTAATTATTTTCATTCCTTTAGTAATGTTGTAAATTGACAAAAGAATATTTTAAATTCACCATTAATTCTCTATCACTTTCTTTCAGAACCATTCCATTTGTTCATTACCTTTATTAATCTTTTTAATTGTTCAACAATTGTTAAATAATTGTTCATACAACTTTCATATAACTTTCTACAAACTTCTACAACTTATATATTTAATTCGCGCTCTTTGTTCCTCCTAATTGTTTTTTAATAAAATTTATTTATAGTTTTATTATGATAATGTAGATATTTCTTACATTGATGAATAATGAAGTGAATAAATATTAAATATAAATATTACAGAGAAAAACATAAATTTATTCGCAACAAAAAATTTAGGATTCTTTATAAAGTCTTAAAGTCTTCAGTTTTCTAAATTACGATATATTCATAATAATGAACTTCTGAATTTGATATGGATTTAATTATGGATAATTTATTAAATAATCGTTAAATATTTATTTCTTTAATTCTAAGTAATTTTTAAAATGGCTTCTCTACGAACGTCTATTCGTTAATATGCTATCCGAAAGGTTTGAATTCGGATGATTTTAAATGTTAATGATTGCAAATATTTAAAAATGGAATGAGAATATTCATTACTGCATCGGCTATAGAATGATAAAATCGTTGATGCAAAGGTGACTTATCAAAGAGCGAGAAACTCGGGAAACTATAGATAAAACAGTGCGCTTGGGTACATTTAAATGTTTAGAGAGAAAACGATGATGACGTATTACGTACACCTTTGAAGCGGGCAAAACGGCGAAGCGAAATTTATAATTACGGGAATCGGAGGTCGATCGTAGGAGAAGCCCGCGAGAAAAGTCGTTAGAGAAACGTCCACACGAGAACTTGAAGTGAGACGATTCCGGCGGGGCGATTTCCATCGACAAAAGCGTTCCGCTTCTCAAACAAAGGCGTCCGCATTTAATTGCGAGCCGGCCGCGTTTTCAGCAGGCCGCCTGTTGTGATCTCTCTCTCTCTCTCCCGCATTGCCGAATACGGATCGCGGTGCGACGACGTCCGGGTCCGAACCGTTTCCGGAGACGCAAGCTTGCGTCGAAACGTGCAAATAAACTTCGTAACTTTCGGATCGCGCCCGGCGCGAATTCGCGCGAAACGTCTATGCGTTTCCGCGACGATGGAGATTGCGTCGACGATTTAAAATCCATTAAGAGGTGCATCGAAATTCCCGATGGTAACGCCGGTGCGAAATCGATTTTTCTCTATCGATGGATCATTGCCGTTGCTGGACCGATTTTCAGATGCGGGAGACGAAAAACTGGGACACGTGAGGAGTATCTGCACATGAGCGAAAAGACAAACGCAACGCAATAATGACATCACTGTAAGAGAAGTGAGAAGGAGGGGGGAGAAAGAGAGATGGAGTCCAACGAGTAGTATCGCGTAGCTACTTAAAACTTTCGGAGCTTGTCTTGTGTCCTTACTAGCTGGCACCTTGCTTACTTAGCTCGGGTCCGCAACTTACCTTCTCTCGCAGCTTCTCCATTGCTTCCCGTCCTTTTCCCCTTCCCGCTTCTCCACCCCTTTCCCATCCCTCGGTACCTCTCTCTCGGTGGCTTAAGTCGAAGTTTACCTTTGTTCCCGGCGCTGT